CGATAACGTCGCTATATAGCGGTGGGTTGTAATGATCATTCTAAAAAGATCATCATCTAAAATAAACCACCTCAGATGGTCGCGTTTTCTCTCTGGGAGCATTATGACTTCTTGGCGTTTTAACTGTACAACGAAGTTGTCATCAGATTCGCGCCAAAATGCAAGAAATACATCCTCTAGCCCTATATTAGGTCTAGAAGTAATTCCAGTATTGCAAAATGCCTCCTGTCAACGAATCCTATGTCGAATTTCTGTAGTTCGAAAGAAGAAGGGGAGCCCCTCGCCTACTGGCCGACCTGATTGAAAGCGTGGTCGATCATCTTTCCCAACACTGCTTGCTAGGCAAATCCTGCAGGTTTAAGCTGGCAAGAACGATATCTCTGTGATCACTGCGGAGGAAATTGACAAAAGGCAGAACACTGGGTTCGGACGGGGTTTCTTCTGAAGTAATAAGACTGTTAGTCAAGAGATGGCCAAAACTATTCAGAGCAGAGAGAACACAGAGCAAGGCAGTTTAGTAGAATATGAAAGGCATCAAAAGTGGTATTGACTCCTAAACTGAAAAACAACAGATTGTTCTATTTGTCTGCTAAATGGAAAACGTAATCATTGCCAGATCAGAGGTAGAAACAGAAGAGAAGAGTACTATATGGGACTTCCAGTACGAATTTTGCAGAAATAGACCTATCTTTGAGATAAGTTCTCATTTAGGGCAAAGAAGGACCTCAGGAAGAGAAATTTCATCTTGGTGCTACTCTTAGACATTAGAAATGCTTTTAATACAGTCAACTGGCAGGTAATTATATCGGCATCAGAAAAGAATATTCCCTTACTATCTTATCCCATTAGGATGATAGGGAACACGAACGAAAGCATATCTGAGCAGGAATTTCCCATGGATTCAGTGTTGTGAAATTTAACGCACGATGGCGAATTAGTATTACCTGGCCTACCAGGCGAAGTTGAACATGTAGCATACGTAGACGATCTAGCGCTGCTAGTGACGGCAATGAAAAAATCAATGCTCAACGTTGCCACTCTGGACAATTTTGGACATGATTATGATTAGTACCCGGATAGAGGAGCATCATCTCAAGGTAGTGCTGTTAATAAGTGTGTGAAAAGCGATGCTATATTTTTAACGGGAAAGAAAATAGTGAAATAATCAACATTAAGCTCGACGAATCACCCGTCAGATTAACAGTGAGTGCAGTATCTGGGTCTAAATGTAGCACTAGCGGGTATAGTCCATGTTAAATACGCAGCTTGTAAAGCAGCAAGATGTGTAGTGAACTTGGCACGACTCGTGCGTAACGTCGAAGGGGCGATCGCATGCATTAGACGGTTACTGATGTCAGTAACAGAATCAGTCGCTTTTTACGCCTTTTTGATCTAAGCGGACGTGGCCCTAAATAAAAAGCGTAACGGGGACACTCTTCTGTTCGATCAATGGCTAGTACCCATTAGGATTGCTGGGGCTTATAGAACGGCTCCTACAAATGCTGTTGTTATTCTGGTTAAGGTGAGAGCCCTGCAATCCTCTAACCGGCAATCGGGTTCAACGATATTTAAATAGAGATCTGTCAACGATAAGAAAATCCATGCTAATAGGATGACGGTAACGATGGGAGCGGACTAAACGATAGGACGCGATCTGCTAAACTTGATAAAAAACAAATGCTTTGATACGCCATATCATGCGCTGTCATATCGAGTAATCAGGTGTTTACTAGCCACGGAGAAATCTTAACATTCGTGAAGAGAACCAAAAAGATCTAAGTTATCTGCGTCCCGAATGACTCGGGCCTGCCGAATGACCCAGAGCGCACGATCTTTGGATGCAGCGCTTTGTAAGACGTGAGGCATGAAATAGAGCCCGATTGTATATGGAGGATATTTAACGAAGTTATCGATTACGTGATTACACTGCAAGGCTTGTGGGTCTCTAGGCGATTTTCTTGAAGCCATAATCAGAAGAAAAATATGAACTAAAAAATTTGAAAATGAAGATTGAACGGTGAAGAGTGTCAAAAGACACAAAGAGAGGGACGAGCATGGCAGCAACTGGGCAACTCTGTATTCACCGATCCGAAGTACTACTGAACGTCTACGAAGGCTATCATCATCAGTGGACTGAGCCACCTGGTAGGTAACAAGTTACATTTGTCGTGAATCCAATAAAGTGGGTGGGAGCTTTGAGACGGATCTAAAACCAATCTTTTTTCGCTCAATACGCACATATAAACATCCCAATCCACGAAAAAAAAAATTGTCTAGTTCCTACTACAACCAATATCATTGGTGGAAAGTACGCGACACATTTTAGCTAGACCAAATACGCATATCACTGGAATTGAAAGCGTACGCAGTTATCTTGATAACAGGCCTTACTATGCCAGGTGCGTGCATAGATTCACTGCAAAAAGAATTCTTAGTACATCCATTCATTAGCAAGAATATGAGGAAACCAATTGGAAGACATCAGAAGAAGAATGGGAAAGCTTTCAACTATATGTATATATATATATATATTTCAAAACAATAACATCAAGACATCGAAATATATATCCTCTGTGTTTGGAGACTTACGTCCGATATTGCCGTTAGGCATTCCATTAGACAGACAGCTGGCTCCTAGCACGAAACGAAATCTGCCTATGCCTGGGTTCGAAAGTGGACCGCAACGTGTTTCTAAGATTAGGAAGTAAAACATCTACGTATATCATAATGATATTTGACTAACTTTATACGACGTTGAGAGATTATGATATTCTGGTAGTATTTTCTATTTGAATTACACGATGGAGTAATTTTAGCGCAAATTATGTACACCATATAACTGTGCACCACAATGTATATATACACCATATAATTAGTCCATCAAACGAGCAGTAAATCTAATATACACAGTTGTGATACGTATCTATATATATACAGATGATTCAACTCGTCGGATCAGCTGTAATGCTAATATCCTTCGTGGTGTTCGATGCTGATGCATCTTCCCGAATTACCGAAAACGGTCACGCTCAAAACGCCTGAAGTAAAGCAGCCTGATCTACACCCCCGATATTACTTACGGACTGTGTTTTCGTGTTTGCGTTTCAAACCAGGCAATGATTGTCATTGACCCTCTGCTAGCTTGGTCTACCATCGTGCTCGCTGGCTGAAATGTCTCCATATGCATAAATGCTATCGGTCGCTGTTTGAAGCAGGAATTGCGGGCGATTTGTTCCTTAGGCGAATAGCGTGTCATTTGTTTATCACATAACAATCCTTGAATTTTACCTTTGCCAGGTAGGGCTAGCGCCTCCGGAAGCGACCTTGTTAGAAAGGTTATGTCGTGTTTCCCACTTCCAGGTAGGGCTTCCGAGCGTTGTTGGCAATACCGGACTTCTACGAATAACTACGAGAGCTCGTGCAGCTAGCCCTACCACATAGACTATGTTTTCCCCTAGCTAGCCTCATTTATATGCTTGCAATGTATTCCTCGTATCGTCTCATATAATTAAGTGAAACTGGTCAGCTAGATTATATAAAGAATTACGCTGGTTGTAGATAACGTATTTCTAATTAGTTTCGTAGATGTCGACCGTTGCTAATCACAATATACGATCATTTATTTAGATGATTCATAGGTTATTTATGACACATCTAGTCCCGTTGCTAGCTTGTTTATAAATAGCAAATAAACGATAAAATCACTATCGTTTTAATCAGCTTATAAAATTCGTTACGCCATGAATATTCAGTAAACTACAGATGTTAAACATGCCTTTTTCATAACCCCGCAGCAATACCTAGTAGAGTTGACTACACGAGATGAGGTATTCTGATCTTGTTGCTCCGATACACCATTTTAATGTCAAACTGGAGTATATGCAAACCATCACGGCGCCGGTCAGCGCACCTATGATTCTGACGTCGCTGTACTTACGTGTTAATGTAGATTCGACAATGGATACGCTGCTACGTAGATATACACGTGTTTGTGTGTATATGTCAATATATTTAGTAATTTCTTTCCTAGCTTATAGTGGCTTTCTGTATCTGCTCGCATATTTTTGGACGATTTTGCTGTATTTAGAAGTACCAAAACACGAACGTTCAGCTTTCTCCATTCGTTGTTTTTTTCGATCTCCAAAAGACGACAGAGTGAGTGTATTCCCTCTACGGTCCGCAATCTTCTACACCGTTTTAGTGGACGCGGACGCTTAGCCTAACTTCACAGGGCTGCTCACTAAGACAAAATAGGGCTTACATCTAAGAGCTAGCTGTCACTCCTGCAAAGCAGAATAGAGATTTACGAGTGCCACACCTGTTTTTAAAGAGGTTTTGCGAAGTGGTTTGAAGTACGAGCAGTCGTAGAACGGCTTTCCTCACGCGATCTAGTTTTGCATACATTCGAACATAGATCCTAATGGAAGTGATTGTCGCTATACCTCTGCAGGATTTTTGGGGAAGCTTTATAGTAAATATAACCATTTAGTTACAAAGTAAAAAAAACTTAACGAGTGCCAAGTAGTACACAGGGTGCTTTTCAATAAGGTGTCTTTAAAAACGAATAGTTTAGGTAGTATTGCTTCTAGCTCAATAAGATACAGTTTTAAAGGAGCACCAACATGTAACACTTCTAGTAAACACGATCAGCACAAAGTGCCCAAAAACCAAGCTGATCGAAAAAACGTGTTAATTTAGTACTGTTACATTGTTTTTGGGACATATATCGCACAACTATGCTACTATTTCTACCATTTTTCGCCTAATCATAAACGTGCAGTCATTAAACATAGAAATATGAAAAGAGGCCTTAGAGACCGCTTGCACCCCGTACTCTTAGCAGCAGTAAATTGCCAGCCATTTTGTTTGAGTGCAAAGTCAGTCCTAAAGGAACACCGGCTATAATTCTGCTATTAGCAAAGTCTACTCTCCAATGCAATGCCAAAATCATATCAGTGCCCAATCCACAAGTGTGTTTTTATTATTATACTCAAATCTACAAAAAAGCTATAACCGTAATTTATCTCCCTCACAATGAAGATATAAATTTGAGAGCTCCCAATTGTTCCCTGTACAACGGTTATTCTAAATACAACAAGATATTTCTGTCGCCCATAATAGCAACGCCCTCTATATGCATTTTGCGTGAGCAGGCTTCATTTACGCTTCTTGGCTATTCTATAGCAACGGGCTATTTTTCGTTATGCTTTTTCAGCACGCTCTTCCATAAAGGACGACCTGATACTCAAAAGATAGTTTCACTCTTTCCGTTTGGTCTGTAAACGGGTCCGAATACTCGGACGACGCGAGTCCTTTGTCGCGGTTTGACACCGTGGACACCGACCCGGCAGAGGCAGATCACACACTCAGCGTCCAGAGGACTAACGTACTCGCTGATACATCAAGTCGCTGGGTATATGAAACAGCTGAAACGGAGAGAGTCGAAGGGTAAACTATAGATGTATGTCTCGGTTTATTGTCCTTTTCGGCCTTTTCGCTGGAGGAATCTGCGTCATTACTAACTTACAGCTATTTGGATTAGGTCTTGGACCAACATATTTTGGGCCTACGTACGCACTCTGTTTTCGTCAGCTCCTGAAGGTTTGCCGCAGTCTCCTTTTCAGTAGTTATCTTCAAACCTGAGCAGAAATAAATTTGAGGACAGGCAGCTACAATAAAAAAATCTTCGCAGCAACTTAGAATAAATGACATCTTTAATTGGAGCCAGGTCAAACTACACATCCAATAGGATCATACGGTAGCAGTTACAATGAACACAACACAGGTTTAGGTCTCTAGTATTCAAAATCTGTCAAACTGAAAAGCCATTTTTTTTTACCAGCTAGACTTTATGCTATCGTGTTACTGTATATATCGCATAGTAACAGTTAGTCAATGCTAATAGTGTAGATGTTTCATCAATCGTAGAGTCACTTTTCCTACGAGCATTTATAGGTCTTGGTCTATTAAGAGCGGTCGATGTGCGACACATCTTGTAAGCAAGTTTTCAACGATACCCAATGTATACTGAACGATCCTTTCCAAACTTTAAATGTTAAATAAATAGAGAAAGCAACGCGAAAGACTACGACGATATCTTAGCTTTCGCAGCTGGTTTATGCGCCTCTCTACGCTAATAATTAAGGCATGCTTCTTTTTCCACAATCAAAAGTTTCCATAATCAAAAAGTGAAAAAAGCAATCAAAAAAAGGCAGAGCTAGGCTCACCGCATGGATTTGCACACAGTAACAATTTTGCAGTCCATAGGGAGTCCTAGCGCCCAGCTCTAGACAGGGTCAAAGTTTACCGAAAGTTGATCCGAGAAGTTATTTTCCGACCTTGTAGATCCGACCTGACGCTATCAACCACAGATGGCGTAGAGACCTTTAAAAACAATACCGCTTTCTCTTCCGGCTAAAAATCCTTCGGAAGCTGTTTTTTTGTAACCCTAAATTTGACATCACGTCTGTAAACTTATATGCTGTCTTACATACGATCATATATTATTAATGTTAACCTGATTCTATAATGAATGAACATAGTTTTCTATTTCCATGTGAAAACCTACTGAAAGCAATACACGATCCGCCAGAGAGGCTAGTTCAGACGATTTTGTTGCTATTAAGTCGTGCTCATTTATGATATTCTCAAACAGTAGCAAATAAAACTGAAACTTTATGGATATCACCATAAATTACATTCGAAAATTGTCAAATATTTATTAATAATATGTAGCAGTTTTTCTCTGAGTGAATTGCTCGACAGTTTTCGCTGGCCTCTCTGTCCTTCATTTGCGTTTCTTTCATTTCGTGCTACAATTTTTAAAGGCTCCCTTCTCTAACGCTTCTTACGCACGTCCGTACGCTCGCTCGTCCATCGAAAAAATCAGCACAACTTTGAGACAAAACGAGCTCACCATCTAAGTGACCTTCAGCATGTAGCACGCAATGCAGACGGCGCAAAAACAGCTCTTTCAATGCTACCATAGCAACATTTCGGTAGAGAGAGAGGCAATGGCTTCTGATGTTTTTTGTCTTTGTGCAGCGCGAGCTGCAGAATGGTATTGCGACAAGAGGAAACTTTCTCAGAAAAAACTATGTAAGAAAACCGTCGTACCAGTTCGCGCGGCACCATACACCGCACGAGCACGTACCAGACAAAGCGCCTCTATTGTACGACCGACTGCTACCATCACTTATACGAACGGCGTCGAACGGTTCTATGGGAGGAATTAATAAACACAAAAAACAGACGAGCGAATATTTGATGCGAAAATTTCCATACTGTGTTTTCTCGTTTAGCGGCTCTGTCGCAGTGGTCGTATACCGATATAATATTGGTACCGACGAAAAGTTCCAAATGCAATCCGGACGTAGTCGCGTCTCAGGAAAGGTCTGTCAACCTGTGACCAAGTCTATGAGTACACACATCACTGTACCGTTAGTAATGCGTTGGATGAGTTTCTCGTTTGAGCTGAAAGGGGGTAAAAGGGTCACCTGTGGAAACGTTAGCATACAAATGATTAACGTTAGGAAAAAGTTGCTACATGATCTTTTTGTATGAGTGTCGTGTGCATGCATTTGCCTCATGTAGCCTATCCTCAAGCTTGACTGCGACTGCGACTGCAACTGCTAGTAAAAAGAGTAAAAAGTGGACAAATGGATTTCAGTAATCGGAAAAGCTGCACTTACTGATATATGTAACAGGTTTGCGCGAATCTTTGACGGGGAGCGGTATGGTTGTCCTTTGTGGATAGTCTCGTGTCAAAAGAAACGTTCGGTCACTGCAGACATTGATTCGGTGGGCACTCAATGAATATCGTAATCGAGCTAGTTTATACTGATCATAATTGTTGATACTGAGAAAAGTGCTATGCTACGTACGTGTATTGGCGCCTAGTCCTTCATAACGTACTACTTTAACACAATTAACCAAAACAGTATTTAAATCTTGAACCTTCATTGCAACTGGCAGTTCAAGCCCAGACGCAGATGCCTACTTTGGCTCGAACATGTGACCCCCTTGTCTAGCAATTAACTAAATCGACATGTCACAATGGAAACCTATTTAACTTGACAAAATAAAGTTTAACCATGCCCGTTTTCAATGACTACATCCATAAGTAGATCGATTTCGAGAAGGTGTAGCAATCAATGTAACTTCACTGAACTCAAATGCTAAAGGGTCCAATACAGCAGTCGGGAAGTTCCAACTACCCTATTCTATAATTAGCCCCTCAGCAACTCATTGGATGGATGGGATTCCTTTTAGACAGCACACAGAATACGGGCCAGTTAAGCCGTGTTCGGTACCTGGTGCCAGAATAATAATCGTCGAAAAGCACAACTGCCCGAACGAGAAACTTACTTTTTTCATACTCTTACTTACATAGATACCTGGAAACGGATTTCGTTGGAAAAGTCAGGGCATTATGAGAGCTAGGACATTTATGTCGTTAGGTTGCACGATAAACCTAAATAGCCTCATTGTTGATCAGAACTTAGTGTCCACTTAGAGCAGAACTGTATCCAAATGATCGTCGATACCTTAAAAGCAGTTGTCGTCGGCTAGATTAATTAAATCCTTTGGAGCTCCTTGAACAAACGGAAGATAGGAGAAGACCACTTATACAGATTCATTTTCATTGCAAAATAAGCAAGCATTATACACATCTACCGACTAGCAGCAGTCCCTGCACATAGCACACTCAATAACTGTTAGCTCATCTTGCATAGAAATTTCTTATCCACATGCCCTGAAAAACACATACGAAGAATGTACATATTAGTTTTAGTAATCAGCCTTATATTGGCACGAGCGTGCTATTTAGCTGCTTTTTTTTTTTTTTCCCAGTTCCAGAGTTAGCACGACCTAATAACAAACCGTGTACACTTTTCGGCATGGTTACGAGTAAATATCGTATGCGTCGAGATTCACTGTATTCTTTCGTTGCTAGTCTGCTAACCCGTTCTAAGAGAACGCGCTTTTCGGGTCTGACATCGTTCGTGAGAACAATGTCTTGCTGTGGAATGTACGAGAGCGATGGAATAGAGAAAGCTTGAAAAGGAAATCATCGGCTTCTGATTAAGATCGTAGGTTTGGTGTCGAGGTCATCCAAGGAACGCAGCTATCTGGGGCGCAAGAAAACAATTAGGAATAATAGTCGTAATTGGTATTGTTCCTGCAATTACATTTTATAGAAGGTTAGAAGAATAAACCACTAGAAGCGCAACGAAGACATGCCCACCGTTCATGTCTGCCTGATCTGTCTCATTCTAAGGATCGAACTTACTTACTTCATATTTTATAACTTGAATGCTCACGTACGAACGAATATAATTGTAGAAGATTGTTCAATTTTCTGGGCTTATGGTTATCATCGGTAACTGATAAACAGAATAGTTTCTCTTAAATGCATGATTATCATCAAATTGTCGATGTTTTGTTACAAGGAGACAGCGACCACGGTAGAATGATTTTTCAACATTTGCTATACGCCACTCTATGTTTTTCCAACTTTTTTCTATTGTAGCCTGATTGTAGACAAGGTATTTTACACAAGAGTACTTTAGCATACGTAAGTGTTGCATATCAGGGTGTGGGGCTATACAATGTCTGCGATATCTGGCGCGCTTTAATCTTGATAGCCACTTCGATGGAATAGGCAATAATTAATGCAGTAAAATCAAAGCCTTTTTGCGTAACAGCCGTGGAATCATGCACCAAACTGCACCACGTTAGCGATTGTATCCCAGCCGTTCTGGAATGAATTGAAGGCAATAGCTACATAGATATAGATAGTATTATAATAATAGATTAATCCGCTTTCAGTTCGGTCAGTCATAGTTTAAGGTTTGGCGAAAAGACTTTCCTACAGACAGCCATCCGCAGAGAACAGAAAACCAAGACAGAGCCTTGTCTAAGCCTAGCTAACTAACTTAATACGAATTCAGGTTTGGAGCTTCCAACAATCCGGCTATTGCGATTCAATAATGATTATTACAGGATTTAATTTGATGACTTCAATGTCCCCTAGGTTGAATCGATATTTGTCTTATAACATCTTAATAACGGAAATACTTTTTCAATGTACAGAAATATGTGGCCGGGTGTAGGAAACAATAATTACTTGCTTATCAAAATGCAATCAAACCGGTCCGCTGAACTAGCCTGTCTTACCAGTCTGCAGTTCCTACTCCAACAAAATGTTTTCGGCCTTCCTCATTTGTCCTCTGAATCCGTTTCGTATGAATCAGTCACTACATGGATCAGCGGCTTCAAGGACGGGTCTGAAAGTGCGTAGCATTTGGTCAGCTGCAGTACTCATCTTCGTTATGAATGTATTTTATACATCTATGCATGTACATATGCTTATTGTCTAGGTCTAGGTACAAGGTACGTATTTGTACGAGTGTGTGCCGCCAATGTAATGGCCTGAATGCATTAATGTATGTGGCTTCGTGTGTGCCTATGCAATGGAATGTCTTATTGCTATCAGACGCCTGACACGTTATTACGGCAGCTGTTGAAGCGCAAAGCAGGGCAGAGCAGGCCGTATGTCGATTCTGTCGAGCGACGTGGGACTGTACTCTTCGTTACTTTTGAAAGAAATTAACCGATCCCAGAGACTGCTAGAGAAACTAGTAAGCAATATTAGCTAGTTTATCAACGAGCTGGTCATGCCTGCCAGGGGCCCCTTGTAAGTATATGAATATACTGGGGGCTGCTGCTATCATCGCTATTGCTGTTTCTTCTGGTTGGTAAGTGGACGGTCAAGCAGAAAAGCCCCTACTGCTCTGAAGGCCCCTAAAGTTCGACTCGACTTAAATTTTCTGTTCTTAATAGAACTGTATTTAGCGTTCAGTTACTCTGTCTCGTTGCCGGGGCCGACCTCCGCGGAAGCTCACTCGCTTTGCTTTGACCTATGCTGTACTTCTTAGCGATAGTTCCCTATGCACACGGCATAGGCGGCTACCGTAGAATAATTAAGTTCCCCAAACGAGTGAAGCATATTGAATTAGCCGGGAGTATGACCCTGCTTTCTGAGGCCAAGCGAGGCCCACCACAACACCTAGTAACGCCGGCGTCGCTACAGCTGACTTGATGACGTCTGTATAAAATACGAAAAGGTTTCCGCCAGTAATTACGAGTAGCCAGCATTGCTGCACTCGGATACGGAATGTAAATTAACCACAATAGAAGTATATTCAAGTATCTGAACTTATTTTCATTTTCATCCACTTACTTGTGACACTATTTTCTGAAGATAAACCTGGAGATGTTTATATTCGTTTCGCATGGCCAAACCCACTAGAAACCAAACGCGAATTCAATTACGTTCGGATTGTTTAGCTTCAGTTTGAAGTGCAATTTTTTGTCATGGAAGAGAAAGATGTTCCTTTGTTTATCTAGTGGTCACACATTCCAAAGAGTTAAGTTTTATCAGTACAGGGGTTAAAATCCGTCGGCTCTAGCAGCAAAATAGAGACGATTTAGCAGGTCATGGTTTGCCATGAACTTCACCCTTATCAGTCATGATTATTATCAGCGCAAGGAAAATGTGGTATCATATTGAAACGATGCTGTAGGTCTGGTATATTTTGAAGGCACTGAATTGTTTAGTTAATTGCGCTATTCTTTGATAGCAGAAGCAGTCTGTTGTTTCTTTATTCGTGGTAGCATGAAAAGCAGATGCCTGGTGCACCTACGAGAGCTGTCGTAGCGCCCTGGGCAGTGACCTACGAACCCGTTCGTCGTTGGGTTTGTTCCCGGGCCATTCCTTCCTAGGTTGAATTCACTAGAATTCAGTTAAACGGAGCGTTCTTTACGTACCTCACAGCGTCCTGCCTCTCTTCGGTAGAACCTAATCCTATTGCCGAGACAGTGGGTATTTCCATAGGCTTCTACATCTTGCTCTTCTAAATCCGCCAGTCAAGCATACCAGCTGCCTTTGCTATTGCGAGTGCCTATCCATCTGCCGGCAGATTAGCCAGCAGACCTGTCCCGGACGACAAAAACCGAAAATCGATCTGTCGTAGTCAAGGATAAAAATATTAAAGCACACCATTCAAACACGCAAAAAGCAGATACTAGCCCTTGACAAAGCAGTACTTTGTCCGTATCAAATCAGTACACGTTTAATTAACTGTTGGCCCCTTGCTTTGATACATTGGCGTATGAGATTGCCGTTTGGGTCATATTGCTTGCTTATTCGCTTATCTCTATTTCTTCCAGTGGTAGCATAATCTCCCCAATGTGCATAAAATCCATATGGGTGTGTACATGCAAAACCCGCAAGTTGATTGGTGATTCTTTATAATAAGAAAAGCCTGTTCCTTTCTTTGCAATATAAGTACGCACGTGCACATATAAAATCGTACATTGCTTGCTACATTAGGCCAAAGCGATTAGAAACTAAAATCGGCCAAGTCCCATGGTGGGAAATGATGCATCCATTCTACGTATTACCGTCTACCTGCACTTACGCTCAACAAATGTCTTGGTGAGTCTGTTCTACATGATACTATTTAACGTGCATTTCGTAAGGGCCGATAGGCCAGTGATCTACAAAAGATCCTTTGCAGGATCCTCTTAACGGCTTTTAGCCCTCCAACGTTTGCATCTTTCCTTATCATTACAATCACGATGCGAGTTCTCTCGTTCATTCCCAATCATATAAAGATCTTAATTAAAAGTCGGTATCATAGAAAACTTACTCGAGCTGTCAGTTTTCTTTAGGAATTCCCTAATGCGACTAAGACATGTGAGACAAATCTTTCCCACGTACACATGGATGGTAACGTCTGCGGTAGTTCCTTATGCTGGATGACCTGAGAAACTGACCGTTCTGGGTGAAAACAAACATTATGGTCTGACCCAAATATTTACCAAGTTAAGGTGATCTCCTGCAGGATAAATATTTACGCGAATGATACTGTACTAGAGAGTGATAGTCCCAACGGTAACTATCGTGTTCATTATTAGCAAGAGCCTCCTACTTTATGCTCACTGTGGTTTGACTTGGTATTTTCAGCCGAGTCTCGATTCTATAATAAATTAATTATGAAAAAATATCTAATAATAATCAACGAGTCAGGAATAGCGACAGCTTTATCAGTTTTATGTTTTGAGTTTTTTTTGTTTGTGTTTTGAGAAGAAGCATTAGTCAATGAACTAAGAAAATTTACCAAAAAAGAGGGGCAAAACTACAAATCTACGACACTTCGTTTGAGCATTGCTCTGGTCCCTACACTGGTCAGTCATATGGCCGTATATTGTCTGAGCCGGTCGCTCCTCGGGACAGGCAGTTCTCGAGGCGTTGAATGTGAGTAACATGATAACAATGACGAGCGCCATTTTCAACCTGCCTAATAAACACAACAAAAAAAAACGAAAGACTTTTTACCGCGCTTTACGCATAATCGCAAGATACCCTAAAAGCTCGTCGCTCAAAAGATCAATACAAAGAAACGCTAGCGTAACGAGCGTCTTAACAGTACTAGATTAGAAAGGCAAATCATCACAGCCAATGTTTATTGTAAAACACAACTCGTCTGCTTTTCTGTTGTGTATGCAAAAACAGGAGCTGCACCAGCTTCATTTTCGGTTTAGCTTTGTGGGTCTATGAGGCAAACATTGTTAAGAGATCCTTTGATGGCCCAAAAATAAGCATTAGCCATTTATCAAACATTCAGAAATCATGTAATAATCATGCCTCTCGCGTATAAACAAGAGTTCTTCTCTAGGAAGCCAAGAGGAATTAGAAAGTTTGGGTTACACTAGTTCAGTTTAGAGCTTAAATTTTTGCTCCTAGCCTGTCGCATACATCTGTCATACGTAAAGAGAGTTAGATGTAGATATACATTTTAGAACAAGAACTTTCTTAAACTAAAACCATTCAGTCTGTGACTAATAGTGCGGGATTTTCATGTATGTCTGTAATTTTATACACCTAAGCAGTGCTCCGAGCTTTATGTTCTTCTAGCATAAGGACGTCTTCAATCTTGTTCACAAGAAAAATATGCCAATAAAATGATATAATATACGGTGTCATCTGCCAGGGTATCGAGTCATCAACACCTTCAGATATAAAGTACCACAGAATAGTAATCATTCCATAAGTTCCTATTTTTCGGAAGATGCGGGGCAGCTAAAAGGGGCTATTTTCAATACGTCACAACCTCTTTTAGGTTAGCGCGCTTCATTTTCCCGCTCCGTGTGCTAGATGCAGAAAGCAGCACATGCTATATCTATTTTGAGAATGGCAGCTCGCCGTTAATTTTACTCGTTAGGCAGTAAAGACACAACAGTAGCGTTTTGCGGCCTTTTTAATACGAGAAAATCGAGAAAACACGAATCGGGCATACACACTAGAATAATGTTTCACTTATATAGAGCAGATTCATTAGATACGGGTACGTATTCGACGCGGTCACCCTCGTCGACTCACCTTATCGGTGGACTCTGTTAGAAACAAGACCACTATATAAACTTCGATACCGATGCAGCATCTGAACACGAGTTAATGCTCTATGCGCTGTAAACGAAGCGTCTTTCTAAATAATCAACTTGCCAACAAACTACAATGTACACTTAAAATACACGGAACGCGTCAACTTTATACGATAATGTAAAATGGGTAACTCGTTACGTTAGATCATCAAACTACTTCTCCCAATAGAACAGCTAACCATGCTTAATGGATTGTCTATTGAAGTATCTATTGAAAGTGTCATAGTTTTACATTGCGACTTAAAAGACTGCTCTAGCTGCGACGGATCTTCTTCCCAAATATTCCGCAAATTGCGTAGAATTCTTCACTTCTGCAACAGAAAACGAAACAGACAAGGTATCTACGGCCAGTAAGATTTCATAACATAAAATACAATTTTGCAATGTATCACACAAGAGCTTAATAAATATGGGACACAAATGTTATCCTTCTAAGTGGCAAAAACACATTGCGGACCGCGACATTCAGACATTTACCTTAAGTTAACAGTAGAACAACATTGTCCGCTTCGTATCTATAATAATACCATGTGAAAGCCGCTATTTGAAATCTCTCACTCCCTCTCATTCTCTATATGTATATATAAAGATATATATATCTTCTTAGCAGTTCTCAATGGATAATTTGAGCTTCGTAGAAAACATGGCGCAGAGAAACCGAGAGCATTCAATCACGGCGGGAGGTCGTGGGGGACTGACAGCAATACAAATTTCTACTGGAAAAGCTCAACCAGAACTCAGCCAGGGAATCGTACCATGCGGGGCGACCAAAGCAGGAGACTAATTATAATACATCAGTGTTT